AAATAATTTTTTATCAAAATTTAGTGTTCGTTTGACTTTGTTTTACATGAAAATTGTCCATTAAAGTGAATTTTTTTTTTTACCATTGGTTATGACATTTGCTTCCATTGCAAAAAAAAAAAAATGTGAACTGGAAAATAATTTCCCACCAAAAAGGTGGGAAAATCTTTTACTCCATAACCAGGCAAATAGGTGCGTGAGGTTGTAGGGTAGAAAAAATTTTGTCTAGAAAAAAAACTATCAAACAAGTCATTTTGGGTGGAAAAGGAAATCATTTTCCATTTTTCATGGAAAATAAGGCCTGTCAAACACAGCCTTAGATCTTGTTTCTGCTTGTAATGCTTGCAATTTGGTCTTCACGTTTAATCACGTTTTACGCTTTTTTAAAACATTGCTCAATAATTGATATCATGTAGAAAGCTTATATATAAATTTGCTTAGCTAAAAATACCAGAAAATTAATAAAATAAATAAAATAAAATGGTTCTCATTTTTCTTTAAACCAGGTATTGTTTGATGGAAATTGGTATAATATAAAACCTTGAAAATTGATTTTGAGTCAAAGTTCGGCCAAATGTTTGAATTTAATCCAATAGTCAAATTATGAAAATAAATAGACTAACATGTTCTAATCATTTAGTAAATGATTTTGGTATATTTGAAAACTCAAAATCAATTTCGGATAAATAAAAAATTGTAGTCCAAAGTTTGAAGGAAAATGAGAAAAAAACCAACATAAGACAGCCGTTCGAGCGGCAACTCAGTCCCAGGCGAGCGACAGGGTTTCTACTTTTGGTGCTCGAGCGGTGCTCCAACGGTAGGTGAGCGACATATTGGATTGCGACCTTTCATGAAAAATGCTGAGTTTTGAACGTGTCTCTTCAACCATACCCTCTCACATTCTATATAAAGGACCCCCATACGCTATTTAGTCATTCCATATCATGTTCTTTGTTGATTTTGCGTTAAAACACTTAATCAAAATAGTTTTCTTATACATCAAAGTCCTGATTATGGTAGAGAGAGAATTCTGTTCGAATTCGTAGATCTATGTAATTTGGAAAGCTCCTATTGCGAGACGTGATGGTTGTTATTTCGAAATACTTTATCAAAAATATTCTATTAGGTGATAAAAATATATTATTGTTTAAGGAAAGTCATCAATGACGAAATTCATGGAATGGGGAAGGTGACAAGAAAGACACGTTCTCACATTTTTAATCCTTATCGGCAAGACTTTAAAAACTATTTTTTTACTTTGAAATACTTTAATCAAAAATATTCTATTGAGTTTTACCGTTAGGTGGGAAAAATATATTAATATTTAAGGAAAGTAGCTGAGGAAATATAAATTTAAATTTTGCTGGGTGTAGAGAAACTGTACACTACAGAAACACACCAGACCACACACAAGCGGTTGGGGCCCGTCATTTTTTGCAATATTTAAATACATTGTGGAGCCCACTGTTTTAGTCTATTCGTCAATTTCTATTGATTCTTCTTCTGTACAAATGGGAAAAGCCTATAAATTTACAGTTCCTGGGAAGATAATGTGTTTGCTTATTTTTAATTTAATTAAATGCAATAGTATAGTTTGCACTTTTCCATTTCCCCCCATAAAGGAACTCAGATCAGATCCAATTGAAATACTCAGATCATTTTCGAGTTGCAGATGAACACTGTTCAAGATCCAGATATTGTTGCCTTGTACACAAAAATACACAACAATCCAGAGTACTTGGATGTCCCCAACGAGATGACATTTGTGGAGTCACCTCTTCATACTGCTGCTTCAGAAGGCCGTACCGCCCTTGCCCTCGAAATCTGGAGGCTAAAACCTTCGCTGGGGAAGAAATTGAACC